GTGCTTCCAAGTCATTTTTTACTTATGGTAGCCCTATGGCAAACCTATCATAGGGTTTTCTTGGCATGTTTCTTCAGAGGAGATTTGCCATTGCCTTCCTCTGAGGCTGAGAGAGTGTGACTTGCCCAGGATCACCCAGTGGATTTTCATGGCCGAGCCAGGATCCAGAGTTGTAGTCCAACACTCAAACCACTATACCATGCTGGCTCTAATAATAATAATAATAACAATAATTCATTATTATTATTTTATTCCACCCATTAGAGAGGGAATGCCATGGGAGAAACCTCATCTGCTTATTTTCTGCCTGCCATGCAGTCAGTGTAAGATGCCAAACGTGTGCCCACTACCATATCTCTTATGCCACTACATATTCCCATAAATAATGTGTGGGCTGTTTCCCTGTTGTATTAAGTCTCCAATCTGACAAGTGTGTACATTTTACAATCTCACCCTATGCCTGCTTATTCAGATCCAAATTCCACTGGAGCTTACTCCTAGGTACACAGCCTCAGGATGACAGCTTTACATTCACATTATGCTTAGGAAAAGCAATGTGTAAAGCATTTAACAAATGGCTTCAGCAGTCTATTTAAAAGTGTCCTTTGTGGAAAGGTGCACACTTAATTCACTTCTAGTAAGTGAGACTAGGCATTTTCTATGCTACTGTATTTTCAGTCTTTGTTGGAAACCTTGGAAGTTTTTTCTTTTCATGTAAGAAAAAGATAATCTGGTTTCCCTGATGATCAACTTAAGTTACATCTCTCTCTGGGAGCTGTCTTAAATTTGTTTTTACTTCATAAAGAATATTTTTATTTACCCCTTTTTTCTGATAGTAACCATCTTCACAATTGTTATAATGTATTTTATTTGGTCGCTCAAATGTTTTATGTGTTGTAAACTTCATATATTTTGTCTTTTATGTTTGCCTACGGTCTGTTGACTACAATAAAGGCTTTCATTCATTCTTTCTTTTTAAAAGGCAGTTGCTTCATAAATGAAAAATTCCAGCCACATTTTATTGATGTATTAGCTCTTCCTGTAATCTTTTAAAACTAGTTCTTTAAAGAGTATCCTATTTGACATCTTTGGTGTGCAGTTGTTAAATTATACTTTGATCCCTCTCATATAATTACAACATAGAGCAAAATTTTGCTTTATATTCTCCTAGAAGAATAAATGTTACAAGGACCGTAACCCTTTAGTGTTGTTGTTGTAATGTGCCTTCAAGTCGTTTCTGACTTATGATGTTCCTAAGGCAAACCTATTATAGAGTTGTTGTTGGTTTTTCGTTGTTGTTTGGGCAGGATTTGTTCAGAGGAGGGTTGTGTTTGCCTTCCTCTGAGGCTTAGGCTTGCCCAAGGTTACCCAGTGGACTTCTCTGTCCAGCAGGGATTTGAACCTGGGTCTCCAGAGTTGTAGTCTAATACTCATACCACTACACCATACTGACTCTTACAATCCTATGCCAGAAATAGTGCAAATTGAGTCCACTTTAACTGCCCTGACTCAGTGCTAGGGAATCATGGGAACTGTAGTTTATTGTGGCACCAGAACTCTTTGACAGAGAAGGCTCAATGTCTCAGAAAAAAATACAATTCCCATGATTCCCTAGCAGTCAGCCAGGGTAATTAAAGTGGACTCAATTTGCACTATTTCTAGCAGTCTGCAAAGGCCCATAGGAGTAAAGATCTGTGAATCCATTAGGACATATAGAGGAGGAGATGTATATGAGTGTACTGTTAAAAAGACAAGAGAGAAGGAGATGGACCTTTTCCAAATTGTTACGAATTGGAACATCCACCCAGAATATATGACACTCAAAAAGAAATTATCAGAATGAAATGTAGCTAAA